AAATATTGTTATTAATTATTTTATTTTTAAAAAAAATATTTAAAAATGAATAGAATCACATAATATTTTTATTGTATTAAAATGTTGGTGATGGTTATTAATCTGAATTCGCCATTCTAGTTTTAGTTAAAATTGAATTCCTATACAAATAAAATTGACAAAAAATAATAAATTTAATCTTTGAACATTACCCATACTGGAATCGATGGATTTTAAAGATAGATACCAACTATCTTAAATGAAATTGTAGCAAAGAGCAATTTCTACAACTTTAATTAAAAACATTTTTATAGTATCTAGTGAAATTTTTGACTTTAATCAAATGTGAACGAATTTATTTATTTATTCATTAATTTTAAAATGTGAACGAAAATGGACAAAATTTATTAAAAAATTTCAATAATAAAAAAAATCTGAAAATAATTATCAATTGTTTCTACATATAAAAGTATTTCTTTATTAATATGATAATAAAAATGATACTAGGTAAAATCAAAGCTAAGAATATTATGTATCTTGCGTAAAGTATTCAGATTTTTTTAATAAAATGTAAGCGAATAATAAGCAGTTAAATTACAGAGAATAATATCAGAATATCAGAAGTTCAGCTGTTGATATTAAATTAAATTCATAAGAAAAATTCTAAAAACTTCAAAAAAAATGCTCCCCATTCTTGGCTATAAGATTGATTAGTTATACATTTGATGATTAATTAGTAAATAGTAAACTTTAATATGTAAAAACTTTTGATAATTATTTTCAGATTTTTTTTCAGATTTTTTAAAAAATATCAAAGATAAATGATCAACATTGATATAAAAAATACGAAAAAAAACTTTTTCCAACGATCATTTTGCCAGAATTTTCAAGGAAGAGAAAATCTAAAAAACACTACAAACAAATAATACAAACAACAGCAAAACATGAATGAGGAAAAGCAGGGTGAATGTACACATTCCAGATGAACCACAGCAAACTATGGAACTAAAAAAAAACATGAAACAATAAGTATCAGCAAGAAAGGTGGAAAAGCAGTTCACAGCACTTTAAGTATAGGAGGAATAATCCAGACAGGTTATAACCTTTTAAGCTCTGGAGCAGGAACTTTGAACAGTAGCATGGAAACAACAGTAACAAACAACAATACTATTGAACAGAGTCAAGAAATAGATGCAAATGTGAAAATAGATGCAAATATGGAAACAGAAACTTTATTGAATAAAGAAATGGAAGGAAAAAATATATCAAAAAATGATTGATATAATTATTTTGGATTTTTTTTTTTATTTTTTTAAAATTTTTTAAATTTCGGTCATCTTTCATCACATCTAATTGGTTTCAAAATTTTTATTAGGTATCAAGAAAATTATCAATAATTAAAGTTGTAGATATTATTTCTGGTTACAAGTTCATATAAGATAGTTGGTATCGATCTTTAATATCCATTGAATGTGGTATAGGCAATGATCTAAGGATAAATCTATTGTTTTTTGTCAGTTTCATTTGAAGCATAATATCTCTATGTATAGATGTTCAATTTTATCACATAATGTATCATAAGATAGCCCTAGTTTAGGAAATCTAATAAAAAAAAGTTTATACAATTTAGATCACTCATTGTTCCAGAATTAGCATTTTAATTTTAGGCATTATTTTCGAATTTTATCATTCCTCCAATACTTTTGCTAGGGGAGTGTATAATATAAAATTACCATTTGGCATAGTGATTCTTTTGTGTATTATACCAGTATGATCACGCTTGAAAGTGTAACATGAAATGTGTAGAGGGATTGATATCCTCAACTTTTTTGATATCGCGCATGTTAATTTTTGCAATTTCCTTTTTTAGTGGAAATTATAATTTTTATGTTTTTATTTTGTTTAAGGTGTTAAAATTTCAGCTAAAATTCAGAATTCCTGAATTTGGCTGGATTTATAAACAGCCGAAATATTATATAATACTTTTGACTCAAACTCAGCTGTTTATAAATTCAGCCAAAGTTCAGAAATTCTGAAATTTATTGACAGCTGAGGGATATCGACACAAATTCTGAAATTCGAATTTAGGCCAAAAATATTATATTTCGGTCTTAATTCGGCTATCACCCAAAATTCGGAAATTCTGAATTTTGGCTGAATTTTAATAAAAAATCTTATATACCGAATTGTTGCCGAAGTATTATATTTCTGAAATGGGCATTTCGGCAACAATTCAACATATCAAAATATTGTATTAAATTCAGCACTAATTCAGAAATCTTGAATTTTGGTCGAAACTTTAAGATGATTTTTAAGTTTCGGCCAAAATTTGGAATTTCCGAATTTGGCTGAATTTTATTCAAACTTTATGTTTCTTGGCTCCTGGTTCTTGAAAACGAATACAGTAGTTACTTCTGAATTTGTCTGAAGAGAATTCTAAATTTTAATTAGGTATCTTGCGAAGTTAAGGGTTTCATCATCGTTTTTCTATTTCGGGGTCTTTTAATAAGGGAAATTAGTAACAGAACTGTTACTACCTTTACGATGTTCTCTAGATCCTCTGGCGAGGTTATTTAGGAATTTTGTTGCGAAATTTTGCAAAATCTTTTATTTTCATTGACGTTCTTTCATTCCGCAAAAGTTAAATGTTCTACGAAAATATAATGTACAAATTTCGGAAAAAATAAATAAGAATAATTATTTTCATAGGGCTTAAAAAATACTCTGTGCAGTCAAAGGTAAGGCATTTTATTATGTGTAAATCTTATTTTAATAGTATTTATCAAACAAACCAACATCTTTTTATATTCGTTACAAGAAATTCAGTATGAACATATTTGCTTTCAACGATAAAGAATTCCATAAATAATAAATAATCTATCATTGAATTGCTCTTAGTGAGAACTTGTAGCAAATCAGAATAAAATTTGTTTAATGACAATATAACCGATTTTCAGCAATTCAGAAAATAAGGAATATCTATATCAATGTTCATTTTTATATTCTATGAAAATATAATTTACAAATTTCAGAAAAAATATTATTTATTCAACGAAAAAAATATCTTTTATATTTATTATAAGAAATCCAATAAGAATATTCAACAATAAAGGATTCCGCTATTAAGAAAAATCTAAAGTAAAAATAAATAATTGAAAATTTAATGATTTACAGTTTTTAATTTTTCATGCACAATAAAACGTCATTTTCAACAAATCTGTATATTTACTGTATATTATCCTTTTCGGTGTATAAATGCAATGCTCATTTTTATGCCATTCTAATGTACAAAAATTTCTGGAAAAAGAAATAAGGAGTATTTTTTTTTCATAATACTGAATGCATTCTGTGCATTTTTAGTATGAAGAAGTATTTTTTAAATCCAAAGGAAATTGATAAAATTGACAGGCGTTTTATAATAATAATTTCCTTTTTTTAGATTTTTTAGATTTCGCTATCTCAGCTGCCGCTGAACGTAATTTTTCTACTTTTGGATCTATTCATAACAAAATTCGTAATCTTTTGCACAATGATCGCGTTAAAAAAAACTTTTATATGCAAATCTTAAAATTCATGATAATAATGAAATTAATATTAAAATTGTTAACGAAAATATTGAGAGGATGATATTGATAAAGAGATTAATGAAAGCGATGATAATATTTACATGATTTTGATATTATTTCAGAAAATATTGATCTTATAGATTTGATGGATGATTTAAATAATAATAATGTGGATGAAATATAAATTTATAAATAAAATTCTAACGTCGATAATTTTACATCACATGATATGTTATTATACTATAATTATGCGATTATTATTGTCAAATCAGGGAAATCTAATTTTGTTTAACAGATGTTTATACCTGGTGAAACTAGATAAAACTTGGAGAAACTTGGTGCCACAGTGGTACACCATCGGTGAAACTTGATGATTTAGTTTCGCCATCATCTCTACTTATACCTATTCTTTTTTGATTTTTTTTTTTGAAATCTAATAAGTATATAATTATTAATCCACAAAGAATCCGTCTGGATCCGCTTTCGTTAAAGATATATTTATTTTATAATAATAATACAATATAAATAATAATAAATAGAAAACTTATAGCCAATAAAAATTAAATTCTAGAATTTTCAATATATTCTAATTTGAATTCTAGAATTATTACATTGACATTTATATATTTCTAGGTCTGCAACATTTGCAGCGTGTATTACAAGATGGATCTGTCATACAGAGTGCAGGAGCACCGCCACCTGTGTATTCATATGCAAAACAATCCTTTTGAGACAAACATTTATCAATGCAAAGATAGCAGACATTGTCAATGCATTTGCCTGCGGCAGGAGTATATTCGCCAGTTTCAGTATTATACAACGCATCGTTACCACAATTTGAATCAACTACGCATTCGACATTGACACATTCACTGTTTACGCAGAAATTATCGATTGGGCACTGCAAATGATTAAGAAAAGTTTTAAAAAAAATAGGATAATTTGTCAAAAAATAAGATCGAAGAAAGCAAATACACACAATGTAACCGCAAGATCCGCAGTTTTGTGCGTCAGATGTAAAGTCAACGCAGGTAGAGCCACAAAATGTGTTACTTGGACAAACACATTTTCCGCTCTGACAAATCTCAGCACCAGCACACTACAAATGATTGAAAATTTAGGAAAGAATACAAATGTTAAAAAAAAATCAAACGGTAGAAAAAATAAAA